TTGCAGAATATTCTGTATGTTATTGTTTTCTTCTTAGGCCGTCATATTACCTGCGAGAGATTTTTTTATATCGATGTGTTTATGAATCGCACGTGTCTTATGCATATGAAATATTCAATTAGTTTTGGCTGTTGGTTGTTTGTCTTGGTGTGAATTTGTCTGTATGGTTATTTTTATTGCTGTATTTTTCATTTGGCTATGTCTCAAGAAGAAGTCGATGGAAACAATCAGCGACAAATCGTTCCGTTGATTATTTATATATATATATATATAAGTTGTTTTTTTTTTGGTCGGTTCGTTGTTTGGCCGATTATTGGTTGGACTTTTTAGTCTGTGGTGTTGAGTCAGTGTGAACACATCAAAAGACAGAAATCACTACAGTCGCGCTCAAGTGAATTTGTGCCAATTTTACAATTCGATCGAAAAGACGGAAACTTTTCGATACATTTCTGTTTGCGTCTTTTGCAATAATTGCACTTTGTGTTTTTAATAGAAAAAAAGAACCTAAAATTTCGCGAAAAGTTTGCAAAATAAGTTAATTAATAAAAAAAGCGGTGTATTTCGCAACGAAGAAAATTGTTAAAAAGAAGGAAAAATTCAATTTTCGAAAAGAAAGTGAACGGAGTAGATATTTGCACGAAGTGGATTTTTTTATTTGGATTTTAAAAAGTATTTAAAAAAAATGTGTAAACCATATCAGTTATTTGCGACGACGCTATTTTGCACCGTAGCATTCACTAGCAATTTAGTTTATGGTAAATATTTTGCTTTTCTTCCTGCATATTTTCTTGTTTGCACTTTGTATACATTTTCAGGAAAACTGTATGTTTTTTTTATCTCTTCTTGTTGATGATGTTTGGTTGTTGTTTTCTTCCACTCATTTCTCAGAATGAAATGAATGTATGTGTGTCTCTTTTGCTCTATGGTTGTCGTTCAGTGGGTTCTTTCTTCTTCTTCTTTAGTGATCTTGTTGATTTGACGAAAAGTCGTGAGGAATGTAAAAGTTGGCAGAAAAGAGAGATATGTATGCATCTTATCTGGTGTGTTTGTGTGCTTGTAAAAAGTGTCGTTTAAATTGTTTGCGAGAATGTATGTGAACCTCTCGAAAAGAGAAAAAACGCACACATTTTATTTACTTTCGTTTTTTTTCCTTCGGATATTTAATGCTCACTACCGGTTTTCATACAGTCATTGTATCCGTAATCGGGCGAGAAATCGTACGCACGCCCATACACGAATTCCGACCATTGCGATGACGACGATGAAAAAAAACTTTCTTTTGCTACACATTTTGTAATACAAATATAAAAAAAAACTTTTTTTTCGCCACTCGGCACTGCATAACGAACGAGAGAAACTAAAAAAAAACTATGCGTGTAAGTGTCTGTAAGAATGTATGTGATTTTTTGTTGTCGTATCCAAATGGAATGACAAAACAGAAAAATACGATCACAGCGTATGAGTTAATTATGCTGCTTTTATCATGAGATCCACATAAAATACAAAAGGAAAAACCACAAATGGAGAAAATATTATCTGTGTGTACAGTTTGGTGTTTCAACTGAATTTGCCACAATATATATACTCTATCTGTGTGTTCGCCGCATTTTTTTCGGTTTATTTTTTATTGCTGTTGTTGGTTTCTCGCTACTTAGAGCGATTTTTGTGATTCAAAACCGATAAAGCGGCACAGTTAATGAACGAATGTGTATATTTGCGCATGAAATTTTGTTGATTTTATATTTTACCGAATGTAAATTGTCGTTTTCATTAATTTGACCATTTTTAATTCAAATAATGTGTTTAATCTTGACCAAACGCGTTATACGGTCTCTTTCATTCCCTTTCATGCATACATGATGATTTCCTCTTTATCCAGTTTATTTTTGCCATTCGATGACGATTTTTTTTGCGTGCCAAATGCACCAGAGAATAATATATTATATAAAAAAACCGAACCGGAATAAATAAATTTCACACATTTAACAAAAACAAAACCAAATAAAATGGCAGAAAAAAACCCAAAACCGAATTGAACAGTATCAAAAAAGATGAAACTTGAAAATATTTTTTTTTGTAAATGAAACGAATGGCTTTGGTTCAGTGAAACTGAGGTGACTGATCAGTTATGTGGTTGTAAAACGGATGACGTTCGAATTTGAAGGTCTTTGTTTTATTTCCCCGAACCAATTGCAAATGCATTTTTATTCGAATCATTCATTGCTATATCCTTGTATGTGTGTGCTGTTGCATGTATGCAAATTTTCGCTGCGAAACACGAAGAAAATAAAACGTAAACACCAACAATAGAAAACGTGGCCCCGTCAAAATCAAAAATGCGACGTGTGTGCATACGTTCAATTTTATGCTGTGCATATATTGACACATTTCGCTCCACAAAAAAAAATTATAACGAGAAGAGGACAAAAAATGCAACCACACTAGATTCAAAGAGCATTAGCCAATGTGTTGTGCGCGAAACATAAAAACCGCACAAAATTATTGTTCAAGCTGGCTGGCCAACAGTGTGTGTGTTTTCTTTTTTTTATATTTGCTCGTTGCCGTCTCTCAATTTCGTATTCATGTTGCACACACAATCATTTAATCATTCGGTTGACTCTTTTTATTTAGAGCAAATTCATTACACATTTGTAGTTATGCGCGCGATTCCGAACAATTGCCGTTATTGTGTGTTGGTTGTCATTGGTGCCGACGATGGCGTCGACAGAATAAAACGAGTTATATTGTTAGTTTGGCTGTTGTTCATCATTCTGCAATTCATTGGTATAATATATGCCACACATTGGCCATCTAAATACGTGCCATGTATACATTGAATGAGTATCATCATCATTTACGTGTTCACTCCACTGTACATTATTGTCATCCATAAAAAATGTAATTAAAACGGCAAAAGACCGAGAACAAGAGGCGAGCATAAGATAACAAAGAATCTGCCATCGATAGAAAAAAGCATCATGCACAATTAACACAATGAATGTTACCATTTTTGCCCGGCTGACACTCTTTTTCACCTCGAAAAGTCACACATACATCCACATGAACTCAGGCACACAAACACCATGGATGTTTGGATGACAGAATTTTTGCGCCCAGAGCCAATGACGGGATTTGAAGCGCACACCCGGAGTTTATTGAATCTTTTCATCATTTCATCACATCTGTTCTTTCAAAACTTTTAATAGATAACCATTTATGTATTATGCGCATATGCTGAAGAAGAAGAAGCAGAAACGAACACAAAAAAACTGGTAAACGAGAAATAGTTTATGGATTACGTGTAATAAAATTCAACGATGGAAAACATTTGAACATTTAGCGATGTGTTAAAGTATCTGAAAGACATTTATTGATGTATGTCTTGTTATCATTTTAACGGTTGTTCGATCATTGGTGCCGTGTGGCATTTCAAATGTCGCACAGTTTTGGTCGAGAGTAAAACGTGTACACTGATGAATGTATAGAGCATCGATTATCTTTATTACACCGCAACAGTGCACACCATAATTTATATAATCAAAAACCTAGAAATGAAATAAACGATTTAACTTGAGCTTATTGATTATGTTGTTATACAAAAACAAATTATCGCAAGCTCGCCAAAGTGCCTTGCTTAGTCTCGCTCTCCCTTTTTCCTCATTATTTCTCTCGTTGTGTGCATCCCCCGCTCTAATTTCGAGGACACATTGCGCGCTTCAGACCAAAAGTGCGCTCTTATCATTGTCTACTTGCTTTTTTCTTTTTCTTCGACTCCGCATCTGTGAATCAAAAATGCGCCAACGACATGAAGGCTGGCATGCAAACCACTTAAAGATTGTTGGGGCCTGTTTGATGGTAAAAAGATATATCGTTGTGACGGTGGCAGAAAGAAGAGAAGACCACTTCATATCAAGCTATATGTACATCATTTTATTTCGTGTCTTATGATCGGATTTTCTCAAAAATATTATGGCAAAACATTTACGTGCACTTACCAGAATATAATGATAACGAACTCATGTGCAAGTACAAGGCACAAATAATCCACATTCAGTTAAAAACGGAAGTGATTGTCTCTTCTTACTTTGGAAAAAGAAGAAGAAGCAGTAGCAGTTGTAGCCGCAAAGAAGCACATTCACGCGGAACTTACTGACACATTTTTGCTTGATTTTCCATCTCGAAATCAATCTAATACAAATTACACGAGTTTATATTTACACAGTTATGATTGATGAGAGCATTAATATCATTTTATGTCATTACATGAGTGTTTGTTTTTTGATTGTAAGAGGTCTCTTAATTGATCGCTCACTATATCACGACTCGCTCATAGACAACGGTTCATTATATTTCTATTTTATCTCAGTTTTTTTTTCAATGTGCGTTCGTTTGATTTTGTCGCGAGCGCATAAAAAAGAGACAACAACACCGCGTTATTGCAATTCTTTCACGACTCGGCGAGCTAGTTTTGTTCATTATGCGACAACAAAATTAAAATATTTTTCTGCATTAAAACCCAATTGCCTGGTTTCTCAAGCATTCTCTGAAACCATTTCAAACAAAATCCACTATATTTACTCGGTTGCCATTTGTGTTGACTGTTCCGTGTAATTTATTTGTTGGAATGCTGTTATGATTTACTCTTAACTTCGTCTCGACAAGTTGAAGAGCAATTGTTGATTATTATTAACGCTTTGACAAATTACTTTCAATTTTTTTTCATTCTCTCGAGACCCGTTTGATGCAAAATGCAAACCACATGACAAACTGTTGGATTTGATAGTCCGGGAGAAAAAACCACTACCACAGAATGTTCAGAAAAAATATATTTTACGAGATATATGAAAAAAAATTGCAAATTTATCCACTTAAACTCTTTACACGAAATATTCAAGCGAACATTCAAAGGAATATGTTCACCAAATGCAAAACATACGGAAAATCATGAGCAATTGATTTTTTTCTACTTTAAAAAGTCATTAGAAGCGCAAAGAAAACGCGTCCGAGATTTTTAATCGTTTTCACGGGGTGTATCATGATTTGAATTGGCCCTGTGCGGCCCATTAAAATTGGCCCCCAAAAAATGTCGTTCGTTGGCGAAAATTCTAATTATAATAATTGTATTGGAATGGAAAATTGTTGTGACTCTTTTTTCGCGGTTATAAAACTAATCCAATTAAATTACCATCAGAAAAGGGGTTTTCTAATTACCATTTCACTTACGTTTTTGGATCGCAAGCAATTTAATTTATTTTATTTTGCCTTCGGATGTTAATTAGCTGATGCGCAAGTAGAAAACAAGCGTATAACAAACGACGTATTTATCGAAAATGTATAATGGCTTACTGTGCATATACATATATAAAGTTGTGTGCGAGATAAACGTATGTTTTGAAGCGAAAGAAAAGATGAATCGACCTAGTTTGCTAGATGCTGACGGCATTGGCATGCCGCTTCTAGAAGAGGGTTTGCGAAAAAATATTGTCGATTGCAAAACTTTTTTAATCAACAAAACAAAGAATTACAAATACTCGTTCGTCGTGCGCGCTCCTTCATTAAAAGAATCAAAAATGATCCGGATTTAAATTTTGCATTATCTCTTTCGAATAATCACAAAAGATTGAATTATCTTAAGACCATTTTACCTGCAGTTTTTTACCTTTTTTATTGTGTGCCAGACAAACACACGCACCAATACAAAATGACATTTGGAAAATCCACCGAAATGTTATTATTCGAATTAAAGAATTTAATG